TTTTTCGATTACTTTCCGTATAGCGCCTTATTTTGAAAGATTAGTGAACGAATAACTTTATTAAATGAAGTGGCGTAGGGTATTTATTGATGGATTGTGCATTATTACGGTTTCTTTACTTGTTTTTGCTTCTCTCATATTTTCTTGTTTGGAAAATTTAACTTTATTCGTCAACGTAATCTTTCTCATGAGTGATACAGTCATTCAAACGCTCCTCTAACATTGTGATGACTTTTTATAGAACGGTCTGTCGCCATTTTTAAAATACGCTTCCGTTGTCGCAATAACGTCATTACTTCTTCAAGGAAAGAGATTACCCAACAGATGTTGGGCACTGTTGGCCAGACCGATGGTGTGAATTCATGCATTGACCAATCACGCAAGGGATTTGCCCATATATGTGTAATACAGCCACGATCGGGAAGACGTGAGGAAAGCGGAACAGTTGTGGAATGGCCGCAGTTTGGGAAGTTCATAGCAGAACGGTAAGTGTCTAGCTTTTACAAGCCAAGCACTCACGTTAGATACGACCAAATACGCTCGACTGCACTGACAGCTGAACTCGTGAACACTGACTTGGTAGCGGCGATTCTTATACACTCGGCAATGCATGAAAATTTTGTTAACGTCAGCTTAGTATCTTGCTGAAAAACAATTGGATCGTTTTCTGGTAATCTCTAGGTCCAAGCGAATCAAGAGCGCCATTCACTGCTCACCTTTGTCATTGTATAGAACTCCCTGCACATTCTAAAATACAGAGATGTTTATCTTGCGGATCGACTGGTGATTGCCGACTGCTTGGTCGTTTTACACGACTTCGAGCAGGCTCTTTCCACTCAAGGGATTGTCGATGCGATTCAGGCGTGCAGTGATGGAGGAATGATTGTTTCATTATAACCAAGTTATGAAAAATACCATTTATAATACATAGCGCACGTGTTCGATATGTTAATGCTTTAAAAATCAGATTGAAATATTCGCTTATAAATGTCTGTGTAAAATTCCTAAGTGGATTGGCTTTATATGATTAGGTAAGAAATTGAAAGGTTTTGTAGCGATTTAAATGGGTTTTCCATTTTTTCCCTTTGAATTGCATAAAGCAGCTATAAAAGCTTAAACTATAATAGTTATTTGATTATATATATACTCATGAATATATATATATATATATATTTGTGTATATAGGTATCTATTAGTGAGACCAACTATAAAAATCTCTCCCTCTATAGATTGCATTATAGAAATGCATAAATGTTTTTACATGATGTTCGCAATGAGAAAGCAAAGCTTTTCCTTAACATTATAAATGCGGTTAAAAACATAAAAGCTTTAATATAAATATAAAATTTACAATTAAATTAAAATACAATTTTTTTAAATAATTAAACGTAATTGTGCAAAATATTTTAATTAATTAAAATTAAATTGAAGTCTTTAGCTTTCCATTTTTTCTATATAGAATAATTCAAATATTTTGTACTTAATATGCGAGAGCAAAAGCAAAAATACATTAAGAACATTACTCGTCTATTGCTGGGAGGAGGGTTGTTTTTACTTCTTCTGCAAATATTTTATATTTAGACAATATCTCGGCTGGCATCTGCTTATCTGAGATTTCGTTAAGTTTCCCCTTTTGCATTTTGTTTTTCGTGAGGGGAAATTTTTCGCAACATATATTTACCCCTTGTGCAGACGAGGTGCCGCGATATGCCGCGATGTGTTCCCCTTCTGCAGAAATTTGTAAGAGAATTTGCAGTAAAGCTAACAGCAAAGAATTTATGAAACATATTATTACTCTTAATGTTAATTGTTTAGCGGCTTAGCAATGAGCGTTGTATGTGCCCTCAAAAGCACCCGCTACCTTATATGCTAGCCTCTTGAATATGCTTACGTTTAAACAAATGAAATAATAATTAAGGGATTTTATAACGATTCACGTAAAAAATTTCAAGACAGAAAACAGACAGTTCGACATGCGACTTGGGTTTAATGCTTTAATATGCACTACGGATACTTGCTTGATTTGATTGACGAGTGAGTGAGCGAAGATACCGATTGGTTAATGTATCATATACTTTCTATATATAAATGCACATACATATTTTAGATTATATATTTATATGATTGAGCAACGCTTTGCAGAAAAGTCCATTCACCGGACGTATCGCTCATATAACATATCATATATTTCGTGTCTCGTATATCGTATGTATTTCAAATTATATTTTGCATATTTCTCCTTTATTACGGATTTTTTTGCTTTTGTCTTAATACACAAATACTAGATCCAATTTAATGTTCGCTTAAAAGGATCGGCTTACATGTTGTGGTTTACCCATTACGCATTAATAGCTAAGTAGGCAAAGGATCGCGAATAACAACTCAATGGTCGCGGGCTTACATATCAAGTCCGGTAGAGTCTTTGATATGATCAAAGTTATCCGGCAGCCCTTAAATCCACACTTTGTGAACTTATTTGCAAAACATATAGACAATGGATAATTAAGTAAATAAATATTGTGGTCGTTATCGTGACCTCAGTACACATAATCGGAAATTTCGAGTCAAATGCATTGCAGATCTTTCATATCTAGTGCACATTTAGTGCAGATTGCAAGAGATTTTACAAAATCATTAAAAGTTAAAAGTCGGAAACCACTTAAACACTCTATGCCTTTTCAGTAACTTCCGTACGTTTATTGTTAATCGCGTTTCAGCACACACCTCATCCATCGTATACAAATGATAATCGAATCACAAAATATACCATGAGAAAATTTATCGGCTCCAATTAATTGATTGTAGGTTGTACGATACGATAATTAGTTTGCAACAGATCTTCATTTGAATTGATCTCAGACTCGATTTTTTCATTATATCTTGATTTTTATGTTTAATTATTGAGCAAAAGAGACTAAACACTTGTATATTATGATTAAAATCAATTAATTATTTTACATATTATTTTTTTTTTTTTCAATCACCTTTCCTCCTATTCTCCATCAATTGTTGTGTTTCATGGGAGTCTTGAGAATTTGGCAGCAAGAAATCATTTAAGTCGTTTTTTAAGAACTTCCCGGACAGTGCATAGCGATAGGAACTTTTCTGACTTAGTCCACTTTTCACTTTAGCAGCCTTTTCGACTCACTATCGGGCAAGTTCGTTAAAACGCTTCAATCAAGCCGTAATGCCAACTTTGACTTTTACACTGGTCTGACAATTACCGCTTGTCGAGCTTGTGTAGGTCTCGTTTCTAATTCTGCTTGCTTTTGAAAATAGACTTAGATAGAACTAAGACTTTAGCAGGATGCATATCATCCCCAGAGTTAAAAGTTCGTTTGACTCTTCTTCGGAATTTACTATTGATGCTAAAAACCCTCTACCTAAACAATGTTTGCGTGTCTTTATAGCAAGTTAAGAACAATTTTTAACATAACGATTCACTATATATATATACAATACATATAAATTACATATATAAATTACATATAAATTACAATGTGCTTTTTATTAAAACGGATTTCTCGATACGAAAAATAAGTTACGGCAGGCTCTCCACTTAAATCCACGTCGTAATAGGTTGAAATAAAGAGAAAACTTTTTATAGTTGTAAAACGTACTATAACAATGGCTTTATGTAAGCTTCGGATTTTAATAGTAAATGTGTTTCCTCAAGTGAACCTAAAAGCTTTTGATAGTACGATTGAAATACTAACTAAAATTAATACAATAATTATGGCACCTATGGTTTGCTAAAGCTTAGAGAAAGCTACATAGCCGTACATTAAAATTTAACATAAAAGTTCCATGTTACCTAAAAGCTTAAAGGGCTTTTAAGCACTAAAACGTGTTCATGCATACAGCAATCTGCAAAAATAATGCAAAAAGACTTAGATAAATTGATACATTTTTCACGGAGCAGAGCAAGTTTGAGAGAACATGATATAAATGTGAGAAAGATAGAGCGAGAGAGAAAAAACAGAGAGACAAAGATACAGAGAGTACGAAAAATTGAGATATCAAATCTTATAAATTGCTCTCGTTGAACCCATACTTCCTCTTTTCTCATTTTCTCGCACGCTCCTCTTATCTCTCTCTCTCTCTATTTCTCTTTTACTCTCTCTAACTGTCTCTCTTCATCATTCTCCCTCACTGATTAGGGCAATAAACAAAGCAATTTCTGCAAACTGCCGTAGGGCATTTTTTTATTTGCTTTTTAGGGGCTCAGTACAAAAAAGGAAAAAAAAATCCAAAACAAAAAATGTGTAGCAAAGCATACCCTTAGGAGAAGTTTATTTGAAAATTTCATCATGTGGCTTTAACCGTATTCCAAGTGGTATTGTTCGCTGCAAAATGTGTGGAGACCCTGAATTCTTGTTTTTTACCCTAGAGTATAGAAATTTCCGTCCCAAACAATGAGCGACTTTGGGAGCATAATGAGCAGTGATGATTATTATATAGGGGCTTAGATAGATATTTGCTGCAAACGCACAACAGTTGTACGACGACATGTGTATACATGCTATTATTGAGGCCGCTCTTAATGTAAATGTTATATGTGTGCCATGCAATTCTCTAACAGCTTTTGTTGTTGCCTTTTTTTGCTGTTATTATTATTGTTGTTGTTGGTAGGTAAGTCGGTTGCTTGCTTGCTTGCTAACTTGCTTGGTCGCTTGACTTCTTTTTTGTTAATGCAGCTGATGCGTCTGGCTGTTGCTGTTGCTGTTGCTTCCGCTGCTGCTTCTGCCGCTACGGCTGCTGTTGCTGCCGTTTCTGTTTCTGTTTCGTTTCGCACTGTATGATACTGTGATGTATACATTAACGATGAGGTGTTTTAAGTAAAATGTTGTTTGCTTGCATCCTTTATGGCTTTTCAGGCTAACATAAAATTTTTAGTCTACAACGAGAAGAGTTTACCGTGTGTCCGTTTGCTTCTTTTTTTTTCTGTTATTTAAAGAACGCCGAAAGTAAATAAAATAATAATAATAATAATAATAATTATTTATATATTAAAAAAAAATGAATGAATAAATAAATAAAAAAAATTTAATAAAACAAAATTTTGTACAATGCTTTTTCCATACGTATGTATATTCATACTCGTCACAATTGTTCATGTGCATTAATTAGAAATATTTAAGAAAAATTAATAAATAAATAAATAAATTCATTAACAGAAATTGCAATAGTTTACCCAAAGTAAAAAGGAAAGAAATATTAAAATAGAATAAAATTTTATTTTAAACAGATTTCAAAATAAATGAAATAATAAAGATTTCCTTAAAAAGTTCGTATGAGTTCGTGTGCTGTGTAAAATTATTATAATAATTGTTAAAAATTATATTTAAAGCATTGTAACAAAGCAGCAGCAATGGTTTGCCCACATGCTTCTTGTGTTTATGTTATTATATGACCTTCACAGCTTGCTTAACAACTTAAGCATATGTGTTGCTTTACACCATAATCTTGTTTTTATATACATATGTATGTACATATCTATATATATATATGTATATATATATATATATCCAACGCATATATTTTTCTTGCGTTTTTTTCCTTCGTTTCTCTTTTGTTCGCATTTTCGTAGGCTATTTACAATTACTTCTTTGTTGTTCATATTGAGTGTTAAAGGAAATAAAAAGGAAAACAGTTTTAACGTAATTTTAATGTTTGTAGATAAAACACACACACACACACACACACATTCATACATACATATATACATACACGCGTACAAATACATAAACCGTAATAAAAGAAAAGAAAATGAATTCCATTCCATTTCAATGACCGTTGAACGTTACATTAATCGCTAAAGAAAAATACAAAAAATTATATAAAGTTCTTCTTGTAACTTATTGAAAAGCTATTAAAGTTTATTATAATTCACTTAACACTAAGTTAGCGAAAGAACTTTTATTGTCAATTTGAATAAATTTATATAAATGATAAAATTCAAAGTAAGAGCCGGTAAATCAGATAATTGTCATTACTTTGCTTCTCGCATTACAAGCAAATGCTGTCGTGATTGCGAAGTAGAAATATGCACATGATAATCGATCTTCGTTATCTAAAAGACAGCTAAGCTGCATTCTCATAACATTGAATATTCGAAATGCATTCTCTTTAATTCCTACGCGTGATAATTTTGTTGCGGATACTTTTAAATACAATTCAGTAACAAAAACTACAAAGTAACAAAGTTGTCAGGCAATTCTTAGGAAACTGCAACAAAAATAATTCAAACGTTGCATGAATTAACTTGACAAAAAAAAAAAAAAAAAAAAAACACTTGACCTATCCCTTAGGAGAAGCCCATATCAGGTCCTTATTGCATTTAAATCTTCATATAAAAAATATACTAAGTAAAGAGTTTTCAACGTAATCTTACATAAGGTCAACACTGGGAAATCTCGAACTGAAAGAACGTCGACTTGCTTATTAGAACAATCCAATACTTGGAAAAATGTTTCCTTTTAAGAAAGAAAAAAATAAAATAAATAATTAAATAAATAGGATCGATAGTTGCAAATGTCGATTTTTTTCAGATGCTGATACAACATGAAAATTCTCATAGAAAAAAATGCAAAAAAATTTTAAAAAGGGAAAAAAAAAAAAAAAAAAAAAAAAAGGAAACATTGCCTACTTTTCATAGCTCTTTTAAAAGAAAAAATGTTGTCCACCGCTTCCAAATCTTATCTTCACCAGTTGACTGTGAATGACGAGTATACACGTCGTGATCCGTTCATTCGTCTTTATCGGATTTCCTCCTAAAATTTTATCATTATAAATGTGTACTTGCAGTAATAATGTAGTTTAGAAAATATTTTTGTCATTTTGTCAAAATGTTTCATTACAACCTAACAGTATACGCGTATATCACTAGATAGGTCGACACAGTTAATTGGTTAATAAGTGATCGGTCATTAAAAATTTGTTTTCTTCTTCAAAATTAACAAATAATCATAAAAAAGAAAAAGTTACAAGCGAAAGATTTTTCAAAACATTCTCAGAATGAATAAGTAAAATCAGTACAGTGGGCCTCGCTTCACTATGAAATACCCTAAAATACTTTGCTTTACACAATTGCCCATTAAACGACTTTTCAAAATAAGGCTTTATCTGGGGACTTATCGAAAAAGTGATCCGATCCGATTCATTTTTAGTAGCTCTCGTCCTTGGGCCACAACATATCGATGTACCAAAGGTCATCAAATTATCGCAAAAATTCCAGGCTGTAGCTTGATCCTAAGAAAATAAGACAGACGGACACGCTTAGGCACAAAAGAAGGTCACTTTATTTTCAGACCCTATATCCGCACAAACGTAATATAACCTCGCACTGCAAGTGTAATAGGGTACAATTAGTTGTACTCTCTTAAAAGAGAAAATGCAGCTAAAATTTATAAGCCCTTTAAATAAATTGACAATTAAATGACATATTTTTTATTATTGCTAATGTCTTATAATTCAGTGCGCACATCAGACATGAAGCGATAACACTTGGCTACTAGCAATAGCTTAGTTCTTGGTTTGCAGTGACGAAGGAATATAATGCGTTTCAAAATGTGATCAATAACTATTTTACTATATACTAAATTATCTAGGGGGAAGGTGGCATATGTTCGCGTATATTAAAAAACGAACAAATATCGACATAATTGCCTGTCATTACTGACAATGTTAGACGAAAAGATCTTTATACGCCTCCTTACACTTAACCACGATTTAAATATATCTCTTATTAAATAGTTTACATTGAATGGCTTAAGAAGTTTTGTAAATAGTTGGGTAAAATTATTCAACCGATATTGGTTTAAATAATTTTCGAAATCAATTAGTTAAGTAGAGGTAACTATGGATCCTGTTTAAATAATTTAAGAATCCTTGCATCATTCTATTATGGAAAAGCTATAGTATAATACACCTAAGTGCCGTCGATAACGTACGTTGGTCTTTTCACTTTATGTTAATTATCATAATTGAAAACGTTGAGCATTTGTCTATAAAGATTATGGATAATTAACTAATAAAACGAGAAAGCAAAGTGAAAGAGATAAAGGTTTACAAAATTTTCAACCACAAACACAAATGCCAACATGCCAACGTTCACAATGATTTCGAAACATTGATATAGCTATGCACATAAAACTTTTTATTTTGTAAATAAACGCTAAAATGTACCGCTTGGAGGGCGGATTTATAGGGAGGACCTAAAGCGTTATCAGCGCTATACAAGAAAAGGTAAAACCGAAAAGCTTCAAAAGAGAAAAGAGCTGAACAGAAGAAACGGAAAAGGGGACGGAAAATATCAACTCTCACAGACAAAATACACGCACCCACACACACATACTCTTATTAGTTATTTATAACATTATTATATCCCATTTGATCACAATTACGTAATTACTTACAGTTCCGTTTGTATTTGTATTGTGTTTTCTTTATTTTTGTACTCGACTCCTCCTTCCCTATCGAAAATATATATATATATATATATATATGTATATTTGTATTTGTATTGATTCCTTCATTCGCTAGGAAAGTTATTATATTTAACACTTTCCTTGCCATTCGTGCACCGATTTCGGTACACGATAAGAATATCAATAATTTTAAACAAAATTGCTTTAGTTTTTGTGAATATAGGAGAGATTATACATTTTGAAAAGCCACGTGTAACGTTAACAGTACACGTTTCAAACAGAATTATAAAATCTCTAAACTTGGAAAGGGCTACAAAGGTCGATTATTTGTAAAAATGTCGAAGAGGAAATATTTGTTAAATAACGCTAAGTAAATTTTATACATTATATACATTGGCCTTTAGTCGCAAACAATTAATCAAAAATCTGTCTTTAACTGCATAACGAAGTAAAAATCGAATGTTTTAAGCGAATTCAACATATATACGTTAGATGTATTTCGGATTTCGAAAAAGAAGTTGGCAGCGAAAATGTAGTTGATTTCGAATTACATTGGGATTGTGGATGCGATATATGTAGTCGAACATCGAACCCGAAAATGTCAAAGTCTCGTCTTTAGCGCCATATACTTTGGGCGGTAGGAAGTGACAAATATCTTGTGTGAAGATCCTACTTGCGCCAAGAAATGAAAAGAGATACTTTCGAGATACTTATGAAATTCCTTGCACAGATGCCTTATAACGATTAGTCAGTCATTAAACAATAACAACAACAAAGACAAACCAAAATCTTTCCACCCTTTTTCTTTGCCAGAAAAAAATGTTTATTTTTATTTGACGGAATTTTATAAATACAATTTTTTCAACTTCTGTAGAAATTTTAGTTTTTCTTTAGCGTACGACACTGCACCTGCTTAGCACATAACTTAAACAATGATTCGGTAATTGCGATCGTATAAGAATTCTTGCGAAATTTCGCTACTGAATTATGCATAAACATAACATTTACGGGGAATGGCACCAAATGTGTTGAGTTTTTCGTACTTTTTATTTTTTTTATTTTTTCTCTTTTGTTTATTTGCTCATCTTAGCGAAACTCAATCAATTGCTATTAAGTCATAATTGCTGCTGTTACTGTTTACATGATCTGCTATGCTTTTAATTATCGAATAAAATTGAATCAGCCATAAGTGGATTAAAGACCACAAGGAAACAAAACGAAAGCAAAAAAAAAAGAGGAAAAAAAAAAAAAAAATGAAACAAAATACAAACAGAAAAAAAAAAAAGATGTGCTAACCAAATCGATGGTGAAAATTGAGTTGCTAATGTTGTTGCCTAAAAGGTTCTGCAAGCCATTAGTACTAGCAGCAGTAGTCATCATAGTGATGTTAGTAGTATTACTAGTATATGTAGTAGTAGCAACAATAAATTCGAATTGTAAATGTTTTCCGCGCTAATGGTTTTTTTGGCGATGTGTGTTCGTACATGTGTAAGCGGCCGTGCGTGCGTGCGTGCCTTAAACTAACTCGTAACAATTATACAAATATTATCACTCAGTCAATCATTCAACTCAATATTCAGTTACATCAGCCATCAGCCATCAGCCATCAGCGTAGTTAAATATCAAATAGTGCTCTCTATATAAGAACAATTTTTGTTTAAATACAATTAGATTGTATTTTCTATGGCACTATTATTGCATGTATATATAATATGCACGTATACATACATAAATGCTGTGTGCATTAACATTGTATAACAATGTGTGTGACATGAGGCAACTATAATACACCTACAATACAATACACTTTACAATCAAAATTACCAGAGAAGGAGACGTGAACGACAGCGATAACGACAACTACAACGGCGACGACGTGTTAAAGCAATAGCAAAAATTTTTGATTCATTCGTTCGCTGATTCACTTACCCATCCATTCATTTAATCATCCATTGATTCATTGTCGAAATTGCCCATTGTTAAATGTTGCCTATGGTCGAGTGGCAATTTGTACGCTTTCGTGTCCGGTTAAATGTACAATGAAACTGATAACGCAAAAGGTAAGTGAACGCCGATCACCGAATTCATAGCATATCAAGAATATAAAGCTTGTTGAAATTTTTTAACACCAATTTATATGAGTATGCATGTATGTATGTATATATGTATATATTGTAAAAGAGAAAATTCTTTTCTACAAGCATTTAGTCCCAACTACACCATAATTATATATCTGGGTTCTTATACCGGAAATTAGGCACATCTTGTCTTGACGACTATCAATCAATTATGATAAGTTTACTTAAGCCTATCCTTGTCTACAGACATTCGATAATATGCTGCGTGAACAAACTGTACTTGATGGTTGCGTTAATAACAATGATGATAATTCTTTAAATAGACACACGCGATATAGATATGCACTCACTATTTTACGAAATTTATTATCATACGGCATTTAATCGTTTATTCTTTCAAGTTAAGACACATGCACTACTAAATCTTATTTACTTATCAATATTGATTTATTTATTTTTTTGGTTTATTTACGCGTCCAATAAAGTCTACACTACTCGTTGTAGTAAAGTGTGTTGAGTACGTGCGGACATTTGCAGGACCTGGAACGACTTGCTATGCATTTAACACTTTTTATTACAACAAACCGTTTCAAAATATCTTCTGAACTGATTTAAAATTGTCTGTCCCTATATGTGTCTTTACAAGAAAAAAACCTAATACCCGCAACAACGTAATATATTCGCACACAACAAGTGGTGTGTAGTAAATAAAAAGTCATTGCAAGAGAGTGTAAGATACAAATGGACATATTTAAGCACCGGATCAAAGGGAAACTTCAACGATCCTCTATTATGTAAATATGGTCGGCTGGCAAGACCACCTCATTAAGTAAATATGGCCGTATTTCATGATCTTCGAAATATTAGTTCACAAGTTATATTCTGTTGGTGTTAAAAGTACACCAAATCGATCGAAAGTGCAAATAAACTACGAATATCGCCGCTTTGTGGATTTTGTGTTTATTACTCGTAAAAAGAGATGTATAATGAAGATGAGATTTTCGACGAAGTCCACGACACGGAGCCACAGATAAAATACAGGGGTCTAATAATGCGTGGAAAAGAATCGCTCACAAGGTAATATAATTTTCGTCCTTGTTTGGTTTTTTGGATTGGAGCCTAAATTCACACAGTAAGGTAACTACGAAGCTAAACTGTATGCAAAATTAATTAATATCTAAACTGAACTCATTTTATGGTCTAACGAATAAAACAAAAAAAGTGAAACATGGAAACCTTTCACATATAGCCGCGGCAGCGCTTAGCTAGTAGTGAAGTCAGATACATTCCATTTGCAGCTTTGCTGAATGCAACCAAATGCTGAATTATTTGAAATTTTAAACGTAGCGATCCCACGGGCCACCGTTTTCCCATGCCTGCTGTTAAATATAGTATAATTTTCGTAATTAATTTTAGAGAAAAAGTAATAAGAAAACTTTAGTTGGCCAAAGCTTAACATTAAATAGCCTACACTACCCCACAGTTATACACGACTTTTCAAAAATATGACGTTTTATGGGAAGCATTTGTAGAAATGGCTCAAGCTAAGTTATTTTCAGCAGTGGATTGAATGAATACAGGAAAACAAGACGGACAGACGGACAGGGAGGCATATCGCTATATGAGAACAAGTGTGATGTATACACTTGTATCCCAACTAACTAATAGAAACTTATTTCGAACATTGTTCTTCAAAACATTTTTATTACTATTAAAAACTGTTGGAAAACTTTCAAAAACACTTGCATCAATCATTTCACTATTGACAATCTTTTAGCTTAACATAATATTTTCGAAATGGTATCAACTAATAAATAATTCTTTGTTAGAGACAATATCTCTGTTTTACTCCCCGGCGATCAAAGAATAATTTTTATTTCATTTCGTTGCTCGAACAAGTCGATCTCCTGAGTTTATATAAAAATGGAGGTTATGCGTAAAACTCTCTAGCGCAGATTCAACAGATATTTATTTCTTTCTTCTGCGTGTCATTCTCGTTAATTAATCCTGTTCTGTCACTCTTTCCATTATTATTTCGTAAAAATTCTTATATATCCCGAAGCGAAGAAAGTGGTTGGAATTTTGAAGATATTTACGTGACACTGAAAAGTCATTGATCCGAGTAGTTCCGTAGCAGCAACGATTTTGTTATTTTTCACAAAACAAATAAAACAAATATCTGATTCCAAAGCAAAAATCATATACCAAGTCGTCATCAATTGACTTGAATGGCTTTATTAGCAGCAACACGACCGCTAATCAACTCAATCAAGAACTTTTACTTATGCCTTTTTTTTCTCTTCAGTCATATATCAATTTATGAGTTAGATAAGTGTGCTTGTCGTTTTGGAAAGAGAAGCGAAGTGTTTCGAAAACGCTCATTTTTTGCTTGCCCGGCCCAAATGCATTAAATGCTTTGAAGCTATCTTCAGGAATCTCGAAAAAAGAATCGGTTTTTTTTTTTCTTTCGTAAATTTCGGCTTTCACTTTGTGCGGGTGTTTAAGTGTTGTTAAAAAGAATTTCTGCGACTAATGAAATAAATTCATAGACTGGAAGGAAGAGGAATTGAGCACGACAAACATAGGCTATCGGGTCTGCGTGATGCTTAAACGATAAGCGATAAACGAAAGTATTGTCAATAGTTTTTACATTCGCCCCGACGTTTGCAACCTATTGAAGATATTGTTCTAAAATGCAAATGCAATATAAAGAAGAGGACAAACTCTTACTGTTGCTTGATTCTCGGAGAAAATTGTTCCTTTCGTTCGTGTACCGTACTGGCGAAATTTTTTATGGTTCGCCATAAAATTGAAAAGATTTTTCTAGAATATTTTCGTTCAAAGTATATCTCTGTGTATTTTTGTTTTTATTTACTTTTCTTTTCTTTCTTTTCTTTTTGTCTCGTGTAATAAGCTTTCGTAATTTTTGGGCTCGCATTATGGTCGATTATGGTTACGGGTAGTCTTATACTTTTCAAAATTGATTTTTAAAAAGGTTACACGTTTAATATATTAAAATTAATCTACTAAATAAGTAGAATATTAGAAGTTTTTTAATTTAAACTCTCTCCTATAATACATTTACATATACATGCACATAAGTAAATGGCATACTTTGTGAGAAATATATTGAGGAGCAATTTTGATACTAAACGCTGTACATAACCGCATAACTTTATATCATGTATATATGTTAGTACATTTGTGTATATAAAATATATATATATATACATTGTATTAGATCGCACTCTATTATATTTTCGCAAAGAGATATAAAGTAAATTTAAAATTAAGTGTGATAAACTTTACAGAGTTTTAAGTTAATATGACTTTCTCAAAGTAACACACTATCGCACGTTCATGTTCACACGCAAAGGGCCTGAGCTCGCTTGAGCGCGGCAGACGGAGAGAGAGTGAGAGAGAATGAGCGGCATATAAAAGCAATAAAACAAAGAGAACTGAATCGAACACACCGAGTCATACTGAAACACTGAATGTGAGCTCTCAAGATCACATACATAATGCATAGAGGGTTTAATAACAAAAAGAATTTCTGCTTAATACTTTAGATGGGATTCTCAAGTGCACATTTATTCATTCCTGTCTATGAAATTTAGTTGAAACACAATTTAAAGCGAAAGAATTAAAATAAAGTTTTTTGTTTTTCTCTTTATAAACGTGTTTCCATCGTTTCTTATTTTTTTTTTTTTTTTTTTTTTTTTCTAGATATATAATTTTCAACATTATTTAAACTTATTACCTTGGCACTCATACGCCATGTGCACGTGTACGACTACGCAATGAACAATGCCAATAGAGAAAATGAAGCCACAACTGGAACTAAGTTAAAGTTTCTCCTGCCCCTCCTCCTATTTACATACATATGTTTATTCTAAAGTGTGCGTGTGTACATACATATAAACATCCATATAAAAAGGAAAAAAAATAAAAATAAAAAAAAACTATATATGCTTGTATAAATGGGCGTATGTGTATGCATGCATGCATCCATAGGAGAATATATATATATATATATATATATATACGCATATATGTACAAGTATGCTGCGCTTAAAGCTTCGCTTAAAGTGTAACAGCATAAAGCAGAAGCAAGGCAAGCAACAACAGTCTGACAGGAACACTGAGTTGTATGTATGCGTAGCAAAAGC